CCCCAGTACACTACCCTCTTGGAAAAGTAAAAGAAAAATTCTTTCATTGTTTAATAATCCCTCCCCCTCCCCAGATTAGATTGTTGACATTGAAGGTCACTTCCAGTGAGATTGGTTGATTTAGATACAGCCCGAGTTTCTAAAATAAATGAATTTATAGTAGTGGTTTCTGTAAACAGCTATAAATATAAGTTCTTTTGTCACATGCTGATGAAGTAGCTTGAGTTATGGGCTCAGGCCCCTTGGCCTTTTAGAAAGTTCATGCCAGCCTAGAGCTCTTCTGACTCAAAAACTCAGATGCTTAGTGGCAAGACACTGCACTGCAATCCCAGAGGCACGTGGTTCAAATCCACCAGATGCTCTGCTGGAGAAGGAGGGGGCAATCTCCTCCTGTACCAGTCAGATCTGATTTGACGGTACATGTAAAAATAAGACAATAAAAATTTAAAAAAAACCCAAAACTCAGATGCTCTTTAAACATCAGTTCAGTTTATCCATGAGAGTCAAGTTCATGAACTTGATCGACAAACTTAAATTATTAATATCCATCTAAGTAGAAAGTTGAGCGTCTCAACATAAGACTGGAGTCTGAATTCCACTGGTTCTAAAACTCACTTCTACTACCTTTTCCACGGAGGGAGGGGCGCATGATGGTTGTTTGGGGGCTTCGATGTGTGAAGGGAGAGTTCCCCCTCGCTGCGAGGAAGGACCCTCGACCTCCCCGTGAGCTGTGCACTGCACATGTCTCGTCACTTGTATGGTGTGGAGGGTGTGGGAGTCACCCAACCCAAGGACTCGCCACCTTTCAAGGTTCTTCTTTGCTGGGCCTGCTTTCATCACTGACACTGAAGCACACACTAGTCCATTCACTTGTAGAGATTACTACAAAAACTATGTCCCCAGTTAAGGCTGAAACAGTGCAAAACATTACCATTGAGTCTATTCTGACTCCTAGGAGCCCAGAGTAGCATTGCCCCCCATGTTTTCTGAAGCTATAATCTTTACCCAATCAGAGTGCCTCAAATGTCTCCTATGCGGTGACTGATGGGTATGAACCACTGATGTTTGGGTTAGCAGCCAAGCATTCAACCATTGTGCTACCAAGGTTCATTCAAAATGATACTTTTTTTGCTATGTCTTTTGAGTCACAACCAAATCATAGAAGACTTTCCAGTGAATTTTCAGAGACAGTAAATCACACAGGAGGAGACTGGCCGTATTTCTCCTGCAGAGCAGCTGGTGGATTTGAACTCCTTGCCTTCGGGTTGACAGTGCAGCTCTTTACCAGAGGACCAGAACTCTATTCCATATAGTGTAGGAGAAAGGAGTGAAGTTCAAGGGCTCAAATTCACGCTTCCTGGATATATGGTGGGCACAAGGACAGACAACATTTCTCAACTTTCCTGGATTTACCTAAAGAAAGTGGACAATATTAATAATCTTATTTTCTTGGAGACTCCGCAGGGATTATGTGGGGTGAGGCACTGGAAAAGAGCCCTGTAATCAATGCTATGATGTAAAATCAATTCTTGCCTCAACAAGTTGTTATTGTTGTTGTCATTGTTATTGTTATGTGCCATCAAGTCGAGAACCACTTATAGCATTGCAGTGGGAAAGTCTGCTGTTAGAGACCTCTCCAGGGTACTGAAGAGCAATGGTGTCTCTCTGGAGACTAAGGTGTGTGTGATACAGGCCATGGTCTTTGCAATCACTTGTTATGCATCGGAGAGTTGGACAATGACTAGGGAGGATAGAAGGAGAATTGATGCCTTTGAGCTGTGGTGCTGGAGAAGAGTATTGAATGTACTGTGGACTGCCAAGAAAACAAACAGATTCATCCTGGAGAGGGTTAAACCAAGCTACTCCTTAGAGGCAAGGATTCTGGGGCTTCGTCTGACATACTTTGGACATGTTGTAAGGAAGGACTGGTCCTTGGAGAGGGACATCATGCTTGGGAGTGTGGAAAGATGGCACAGGAGGGGAAGACCCTCTATGAGGTGGATTGATTCAGTGACTGGGGTAATCGGGATGGGTGTGTCGGAGGCAGTGTGATTGGCACAGTATGGAGCAGGGTTTAGGCAAGCTACTCAACGACACATAACAACAACAACAACAACATGAACAATGGCTCTGAACTCTGCTCTGTCCTGAGCCAACCTCAACAAGTAGGTCGGCATTTTCAAATACCATCCATGATTTGTTGTCCCACTGTTTTTGCCTCAGTCCCAAGGAGCTCTGGTGGCTCTGTGGGTAGAGAGCCGAGTTGCTACTCCAAAAGCAGATGGTTCAAATCTACCAGCTGTTTCCTGGGAGGAAGAGGGACCATCTCTTCCTGTGGCATTTACAGCCTCTGAAAACCCACCGGAGGGAAAGCTCTGAGTTGGTTCCGACTCAGTGCCAATGGGAATGAGATGAAGCATGTTGTTGTTGTGTACTGTCTAGTTGTGAACCGACTCGTAGCTGGCCTCCAGCTAGTTTTCAGAGGCTGTTTAATCACATGGGAGGAGATCGCCCATCGTTCTCCTGCAGATTAGCATGGTTAATGGATAAAGCGTAGTGAATAGTTAAAAGCAAATGCAGTTAAAATAATAACAGCAGCGGTTGTTAGGTGCTTTTTGGGCCATTTCAACTCATGGAGACCTTTTATGTTCAGAGCAAGAGATCTCCATTGGGTTTCAAGGCTGTTGCCTTTGGAGTGCCTATGACCAGAGCTGACTTTTTAAGGTACTGCTGGAGGGGTGGCATCTGAACCGCCAACCCTTCCAACTGGCGCACCAACCCTGCCATCTAATTGTAGTGCCTCATCTTTTGTACCATCCAGAGGCACAGCTAATGGTACTTGAGGTAAAAGGATGCACCCAGGGCTGTGGAAATATTGTGCTTGTGTGTAGTATTTCTCCATCTCAGCTTTATGAGGAAGACGCTGCTGCCTTCATGAATGAAAAGGAAGCTGAGGCTCAGAGAAGCCAATCCTTGGATGTGGTCACTGGAATACAAAAGGGGATAGACTGGAGAAGAATTTTGGAGCGGAAGAGGCAATACCATCAAGACTCTCATCTCTGCCTCCTGTAGCCTCTCTATCACGTCAGCCTGGGACTGCTCAACTCTGGTGCAGCCGGGGGTGACACCATAGATATGCTTGTCCCGAGTGATTGATGCCTTCTGCAGGCCCTAGTGACACACGGCCATTCTAGCCATGGCTCAGGGCCGCTACAGTGACCATAGGAGAGACACTCGTAACTTCCAACAGGCTCACACCATTTCCCTCTTCCTGATTTTCATCCTGGGATCCCAGCATGTCTCAGGGTGAACTTTTTTTTTCCCCATTAACCCTGCAGGAATGCATGTTTTGTGTTTAATCTAGAAATAGTCCCCGTTGCCGCTGGCTCATGGGATTCTTAAGAAGCCGTAGACCTGCTGACCACTGAGTGTCAGCGGGAACGAGTTCCGTGTTTGGAACTCTAAATTAGAAACAGGTTCTCTGGGCCAATTATGGGGTGCCTTTGAGGCTCTCTTATCTTGGCAGCCTGACCAAGATCTGTTTCTCCTTAAAGTGAAACTTTCTGCAGGGCTCAAACTGGGGTTATCTTTTAGAAGGAGTGGCTGGTAACTGTGGCTTAAATGTCAGGGATCTGCATCCCCAGAGCTCAAGTCGAGCAAAGTCATTTCTATCCACTGAGTGGAGGAACATCCCAGGAGATGTAGCTGCCTGGGGAAGAAAGGAGGGGATAAAGAGGGTGACAAATGTGGCCCTGGTGACCTCTGACCCAAGAGAGTCAGAAATAGAAGGCACAGGTACTTTGCCCTGGCCAGAGTCCTCAACATCCTGCAGCCCCTGAGCCAGGAGGAAGCATCTTGAACTTGACTTCTGCATTTCCAGAATGAAGTGTTACATCCCAGCAATCTGAAATTCACACCCAGGGAAACACTGTCACTAATCGTCTTCACTGGGCGGAAGGATTTTGACTCGACTCGACCCTGGGCCAAAGCATTGAGAGCCCGTAGTCATCCCTGGGCCAAAGGATTGTGGGCTGACCCATTGGGTTAAAACATACACAAACCTTTCAAGAGTGGTGTTTTTCTTTCCCTTAGAAAAACATTTATTCTGTTCTTGGGGATCCATTCCCTGAAGCACCCACCTCAGCCTGCTCGTAGGAATGGAAAGAAACCTGAGAAAATAATAGAAATGGGTGGAGTGAGGCGGTCACAGGCCACGCAGGTCCTCTCTCTTCATGGAAGTTGTGACCCGCTCTGCTGCGGAACACATGGAAGAGTGATTTACGCTTCGTGAATTGCATGTAATTGTCTCTGGTTGTTTTGGACTAGTTATGTTCTGTAATGTGAATGCTGAATCATCCATTGCTGTTAAGTTCAGCCTGACTGGTGGATACCACATTCTCAGAGTTGTTGTTCTTGTGTACCATCAAGTCCGAACCGACCCAGAGCTGACCCTCCCGTGGGTTTTTCAAGGCAGTAATCACACAGGAGGAGACTGCCCATCCTTCTCCCACAGAGCAGCTGCTGATTTCAACCAGCGTGCCTTCCAGATTGCAGAGACGCTTCTTGCCACTCGCCTCCCCTCCCACCCCGAGCTTTCTAACCTTTCAGAAAAAGATTCCCAGATTTGTCTTGGGAGGTTTCTCTGGGTGGCTTTGAACTGTTCACTTTGGGCTAGTTGTTATTTGGCGCATAACCATTTACACCCACAAGGACTCTGAATGTTGAATTAATGAATATTAAATCCTTGCACATAGGGGAAATATAGGATAATGTTCCTGTGAGTATTTACTCACCTTTTCGTCAACCTGTGTCCTAATAGTAAGGAATTGCGCTACCAACGCAAAGGCACAGGGTTCAAATCCACCAGCTTCTCTGTGGGAGGAAATGGGCAAGCTCCTCTCATGCAGTTCAGTCTCTGGGAACCCCTATGGGCCAGCTATGAGTGGAATCCACCTCAACGGCGTACACCACCACCACCACCAGCAACAATCTAATGGTTTATAGGCTGTTTGAAATGTGGTTCTATGCATTCTTTATTATTATTCATTTTAATGAAAATTTACAGAGACTTTTGATTTCCATTCATTCATTGTTTTACTTTTCTCCCTGCCCACCCACCCCCCAGTTCACTCTTCTTTTTGAAAAGTAAAAGAAAAATTCTTTCATTGGTATACAGTCCCTCCCCCCCAGGTCCACTCCACTATTCAACCTTCGTTCTGGACTCCTGTCATGACAATAATACCTAATCACTTATCCCATTTAAACAGTTCTCTCCCTCCTTTGTTTCAATGCATATACATTATTGAATCCATCTTTCTCAGTCTCCCCCCCCCCAACCCTGATGTCAGTCCAATTTTACAACAGTGGCACTATGCAGTATTTGTCCTTTTGCGCTGAGATATTTCACTCAGCATAATGTCCTCCAGGATCACCCATTTTGAGTAATATTGCATGAGTTCCTTGTTTTTCAATGCAGCATAGGATACCATTGTGTGAATATACCACAGCTTCTCTATCCATTCGTTTGTTGATGGGTATTTAGGTTTTTTCCAATTCTTTGCTATTCTGAACAAAGCCACAATAAAATAGGTGTGCATATATCTGCTTGGGTGGCAGTTATGGTTTCTTTGGGGTATATTCCCAGTCATGGAATTGCAGGGCCAAATGGTATTTCTATTTGCAACTTTTTGAGAAAGCGCCATACAGCCTTCCATAGTGGTTGC